CTGAATCCAGTCTTCCCTTCCCAAGACCCAAAATAGTTGGACCTACACTGGGTAATGGCCTTTTTATTCTAAATATCATACATGTAACCTACAATACAGTAAATTATCTATTGAAACATTAAATTCAAGGTAGATGTATCAAAACATAACAGTCTTCCCCAAGAGAGATATTCTCCTTTACATTTCAAAATTAATTGGAACTTAAGAATATATACTGCACCAAGAGAGATATTCTAGTTATAAAAGAACTATACAGTTTTAACTTTTTGGCCATATTAAGTGGCATGTGTCTTACCTCAGACCAGATACAGAAGTCCAAGCCATTACAGGTTTGTTCCCCTTTAGGTGGATTTGACTATCTGAACTTCAGTAATGAGAAAGCATTAACTTCTGAAAACTTTGAAAACCATTGTTCTGTGAAGCATTACAAGTTTTCAGACTTTGTTGATGTTAAGACTGCAAAGGATACGAATTTGAATATGGTGCTTCCAAGTGGCTTCAAAGATACAGTGGTTTCCTAGCGAGATCTTGTGATTATAGATGGAGAAAGGAAGCATGAAGATCCTTCAGTCGGCTTGCCTTGGCTTAGAGGAAAACCAACTTGCAATGGCATGACCCCCAAAGCAAGGGGAAATTCAGGGAGAATGGGATTGGATTTCTTACAAGTCAATCATCAACACTTTTCTGACAAAGTTGAAACTGGAAATGGCCCCGGTTTGCATTGTGTACATGATACTGAGCCTAAGAGTGTTAAGGTGGCTGACAGACTCAGTGATAAAAAGATCCTTGGTGTTCCCATTTTTGAAAAGCCATGTGCTTCCAACAACCATTCTTTTCAGTTGTCCCCTGCCAAGATTAACAATTACCCATCTAATCTGTTCAAATTTATTTTAATTTTGATTGGTTTCAACCCAAACCTTGATCTGTCTAAATTGATTTTGGACTAAACAGGTCCAATCCAAAACCGGTCCATTGACACCCTTACATATAAGAATACTCTTTCCGGGGGCTAACTTCTCTAATACTGATGAATCGGGAACCATGAACTCGAACCAAGCAAACCATTGAATGGATAAGTACAGGTACTACTAAGTACCCTAGGTTCCCCTGATCTCAAACGAAGCATGGGCCAGGTGTCTCTTTGATAATTCCAAATGTTGGGGCTAGGCTTACATAGAGTTGGTTGAAAGATGGGCCCAAAATGGGAAAGTACTGCCCAATAGCATGCGTTGTCAA